GTAATATCATAATAGTGAAAGGAACATGACTCAAGCAGCACGTTAAGAGAGAGGGTCCACTGAGTGAGTAAGGGGGGGGAGTTTTTTTTCCTTCAAAGGAGTCAAATTTCCCAACTCCGTGGGTCTGAGAGTAACTCTGCTCAGAACTGAGAGAGGCTTTGTACTGAGAGAGAGAGAGAGAGCAGTGTGACTTCAGGTCTGCAGTGAGGCAGAGGGACCACGGAGTTTGCAGGAATTTCATCACACACATGCACTTGGAGTTCACTTCCAAACCTGGACCTGTATTCATTCACACGCTAAAATGTCTCAAGGGTAAGGCAGTTCAATATTACCTCAACCTTTTCAGCATGCAAAGAAAGCAGAGTGGATTTAGATCCACTTTACCTTTTTACACTCAGTGTGTACCTGTGATGTAGCAGCACTTCTTCTGTGCGCAGCTTTTTCGTGCGCAAACGGCTCTACGCTGAAACGCGTTTCACTAGCAACATTATCAGTTTTAAAATAACGTTGACTTTTTTTTTTTTTTTATGTTTTGAAGTCTACTTAAAACTTCACCAAACGCAACTTACATTCTGTGGCTGATGTGTCTCCTCAGGTGGTCTGTTGCCCTGCATCTCGCCCTGCTGTGCTGGCTGGCCGCTGCCCTGCAGGTTATGGAAGGTTAGTTCATGCTGCTGCAGCTCTTTACTGCAACTGTAAATACATATACAGCTGGGAAGGATCCATGAGAGGCTAAAACTGATACCATGTATAATCTTAGGGGTCAGTGAATTTCATGTGACCTAGTAAAACTAGGAATATGTGTCACCTTGTGGCAGATTCCATTTAAAGTTAAATGCTTAATTGCTGACCATATAGAATCATCAGACTAAGGTCTAATGATCCAGATATTATAGTTCCTCATGTGACTGCTTCAGCAAAGCGCACAGGGCAACACACTCACAACCATTCTGGATGCTGTGATTAGATTTGATCCTAGGAGAGAGGGTTGAATCTGTCCTCAAATGACAGATATACAGAAGAGGAGAGATTTCAGAGTAATATGTGCATACATAATTAATACAAAAGTCTAAAAAACGTGAGCAATTTATAACTTTTTATACTATATATATATATAGTGTACGTCATAGAGTTGACTTCTTTATGGGACTTGCAGCCTTTAAACTGCATTTTATATTGTGCATCACATGGTTAGATTCCTTTGGGAAAATTTGCCCGATTGCTCTTAAGCACAAATGTAAATTTCTTTAAGCCGAAAAAACATGAAAAGTTCTGCTCTGTGAGTAATGGTCAACTTTATGCCAAGTGACCGTTCGGCGGACCCGTCCACCTAACAGTGATTGTCTATCACAGTTTAGCAGACTTAACTGCAGTCAGTCAAGCTTTGGGTTTCCCTGCACGTTGAAACAGTGTGTGTGGATCTGCAGTAAGAATGATACATAGAATGATATACTTTATTTAAAGGTCCAGTGTGTTGGACAGTAGAACCAATTTTTTTAAGGACCCCACGTTTCCTTACTGGCAAGGTGTGTGCTCAGATAGTGAAATATAATGACTCATTACAGAGTATTTTTATCCCACTCAAAACAAAACAGCATAAACAGCTAATTATATTATAATTTATTCTTCATTTTTATTTGTTTTTTGCTAAAAACATAAGGCAGGCCAAATCAAACGCTGTGGCAGGCCAACAACAGGCACCACTTTGGGCAGTCCTTGTGTAGGATTTAATGGCATCTAGCAGTGTGGTTGCAGATCACAACTCCCCCCTTCACCCTTCCCTTCCAAGCGAGAAAACTATGATGGCTACAAAATACTTGAAAAACGCCCCAGCGTCCGTTTGTTCCTCCGGACTACTTAGAAACATGGCGATTCAACATAAAGGCCTCCATGGAAGTCGACCCACCTGTGAGGTGGAAAGTCCCTTTTTGGATTTAATAATGTGGTCGTAATTTAATAAACCCCAAATGCTACATTTAGCACTGCACTGGAGATCCATTTGAACTAGTGGACTTACAATGAGGACTGGTAAGAACCTAGTCATACGTATCAAATTTATCGCAGTCCTTGTAACATCAAACATAAACACAGAATCTGATACAGTGTTTTTGAGAATAAATATAAGATCACAAAACAAAATAACACGATACAATATCTTTTTATATTTTCTTACACCCCGACTGTAGACAATCCTAATTTTGTAATTTATGTCTCCAGTCATCTGGACACATTATATTAGCTCTGAAACTCCTGAGCAGACTTCCTGCTTTAAGTTTTTGTGGGTGAATGGCTAAAGAGCTGCCTAGCTTGGGTTCTGATACCTGATCAAGTTTTACAAGACTGACCAAAAGGATGAGGTCAAATCCAACGTTCCAAAGAACTACGGTAAAATGTTATCCATCAGTTAACAGTGACAATGTCATCCACTCCCCCCTCACAGACCCATTACGAGACACATAATGTGGGTCAGTCCCCCTTTGCATTTCCATTTTCACACCTCTGTCTGCTGCTGCTGTTTTCATTTAGGCCTAGTTACACCCTGCTGTGGGGCTGCTCTTATACAGCCCTGCAGGAGAGAGAGAGTTTGTTTATTTGGCAATACACCTGGCTTCCTCTGCCCTCTTTATCCTGTGTGAGGGTAGTGGCAGACGAGTCAAACGCTACACCAGGGTGAGAAATGAAGTGTTTAGTTTGTATGGTAATGGTGTGAGGGGTTTCATCTGCACTGCACTTGCTGTTTGTGTGTTAGAGAAATAGGGAGAGGGCAGTGTGTGCGGGGTCACACAGAGCTTTGAAGTGGGATGTTGAGAACGCACTTGTTCCAGTGCCAGTTTAATGTCAGCGTGTGTAGGTGTGATTTTTGACAATGGATGAAGAAAGGGATTTTCTATTCCGAAAATGTACGTGAAGTAAGAAAGAAGTAATCCAGTGTTTCTGCAGGATGCTGCACACACACTGAACACAGCTCATCACATTGCAGACTGCCACAGGCTTGATGGTTAGAAAGACTGCCTTGTGACTAACAAATCATGTTCAAATCCTGAAACCAGCTCAGAATATCAGCATGTTCCAGTGAACCCTTGAGCAAAACACTTGTACTGAACTCAACTCAACATTGTGTAACTACGCGACGCAGACTGCAACAACTGTGATTGGTCCGCTTCGTCTGTGTGTGTGCGCATTGATTGCAAAGTTGAGTTAATATTGCTGTTTGAGAAACATACATCCTGCAATAACTTTCATGCAGGACACTAGAGTTGCCTCTCATCACAGATGTACAATTAATGTTCACTTTCTTAAAAGGTGAAAAAAAAGGTTCTTTGCTGCCCAGCCAACCATACCTTAGCTATATTTTATTTTGCCATAACCACAACCTTGCCCTAATTCTAACCATACCATATCATATGCCATGTGCAGACATTGTAGAATGCAAATATCTTACAAACACTGGCATTGGATGTAAATAATTCTTGTCATTGTAGTCACCCAATATCAAGGTTCTTATCTGGCAATAGGGTTGGTTTTAGTGGATCATTGAAATCCTATCTCACTGGCTATCCTGGAAAAACAGTTCCTATGAGTCCAGTTGCAGGGCGACCCTCGCACTGTGTCTGCACTCAGCTGGATGAATTGCACCTAATCCACACTAATATGGTGTTTCTGACATTGTTTTGGACATACTCTGCAGAGTTGGTGAATCTGAATCCTTACATTTAGCCATTCTCCTGATCATTAAGTATGGCAATCTTTACAAAAAAAATCTCAAAACACTACTGTTAACGCATGTTATTTTCATGATTTAAAACATTAAAACAACTTTTTTGATTTAGTCGGTTTAGTGTGACAGTTTCAGAGAGATTCTTTATCAGCATCTAGATTCCCAGACACAATAAACAGTTGAAAAGGGACATTTTCTTACTGCTTCTTACTGTTTTTCCACACTCCAAACTCCAGCCTGTCCCCCAAAAACACCCTTATTCCTGCCTCCAGGAACCTTCACTTTCCATTTACCGTTGGTTGAGTTGCTCTGAAAGGATTCCATGTTTAGCCAATATAAATGATTGTGAGGTGAGCCCAGTAGGAGTCTGTTTTAGACAAAACATTCCTCTGTACAGTAAAACTTAGTCACATTATTTTACTGTTGACAGTTTCAGTTGTATTACGGTTGACGTCCACAATATCTGGCATGGTTCGATTCCCTCAGTTGTAGAATGTTTGTAATGTCTATAAACCATATTCAACTATAACTAACTAATATAGTTATAATAATAGTTATATTATTATAGAATAATCAACAAAACAAATGTACTGCTCCTCCCGCCCCCCAATATTTGCTTCACTATTACCCATAAGCCTTTCAACTGCTTTCACTACTGACCTTATTTGGTCTTTAATGTTACTGGAATAAAACTCCCACCAAGCTCCCGTTAGTGTTTTATGAGTCTGTATGAAAGAGCCTCTACCTAAATGTCTTCAGTATATTAGAGAACTGAGCGCCCTCACTGCAGCGGCGTCCTGTCTGGAATGTGCTCATTCAGCCAGAGTGACTTTGATTTGAACACAGTTGGGCACAATGGGCCAACTGTAAAAGGTGTCATTGCTCTATGTGTGTAACCGTCAGCTCTATGGGATTTGTATGGGAAAAAAACAGTCAGTGGAAACTTGACAATAAGAATGGGTGTTTCTTTCAGGGTCTTCTGACTTTCCGTTGAAAACGGCCTTGTACTTTCCATGATGTGATGCTCACTGAGATGATGTAGTTCTTTAACCTTGGTTCCCCTTGACGTATAGAGGAAAATAGCTTGTGCTTGGATTCAAAATGAGGAGAGAAAAAGCTGTTGTCATTGCAGACAAAGTTAAACTAACATCAGAAGCATTTATTAGCATGTAAGCTCATTTCCACAGTAAAATAAAAAAATAAGATGAAAACCTAGCCCTAAATGTTTCTTTTAAGTTGAAATTATAAGTTAAAAAGTTATAATTAAAAGATAAAATAATTAGATTAATTATGACTTTGTATCTCATAATTATGACTTTTTATCTCACAATATTGACTTAGCATGATTTTTTTATCAAGTTTTTTTGTTTTCTTTATTTGGCGGAAATGGGCTTCCATATATTAGACTGACCTGCTGATTTTAAAAGATAAAAACTCTTACTTTTTATCTTTATATAGATTTATAGCTCTTACTGTTATGGCTTTATAGAAAGGAAACATTGTAGTCTCACTGGTTTTCTGTTGTTGTTGTTCGGGTACACCGTTTCCATGGTTACTGTTTAAAAAGCTGACCATGAATCATTATCATTGTGTCTGTCTGTGCTTTGGGGAAAGGAACTTACAAAGAAAGTCTTTTTACTAAAAGAGAATCTAAATCTTCATTTATTGAGGAGAGTGTTAACTTTGGGTTTATGTGTTCCCTTTATGGCTGTTATTTGTGATTTGTACATGCATCGGTATTGACTGCTCTACACATGAACATGCTGAACATAACTACTTAGTATAAACGTGGTAAATCTGAGTATCACATATGCACTGTCAAATAAATTCCAACATAACTTATTATTATTTTCATTATCAGTTCATCTGTCAATTATTTTCTTGATTAATCAATTAATCATGAATAGCAGCAGATCTGTGCATTTTAGAAGCAAATATTTTG